CAGGTGAGGAGAAGGACATCACACACTACAGGGGAAGTCAGCACAACTGGACTAAACAAAAGCTAAGAAGTTTCCTGAATGCAATCAAATACTTTGAGAGACAGAGTAGCGGGGGTAGGGGTCTGGGGACTATGCTTTCAGGAGACATCTAGGTCAATTGGCATAACAAAGCTTATTAAGAAAATGTTCTGCATCCTACTTTGGTGAGTGGCGTCTGGGATCTTAAAAAGCTTGCAAGCAGCCATCAGTTGCATGCATCAGTTGTTCCCAACCACGTAGAGTAAAGGAGAATGAAGAACACCAAAGACAGAAGGAAAGTATTAGCCCAAGAGACAGAAAGGGCCACATAAACCAGAGACTTCATCAGCCTGAGACCAGAAGAACTAGATGGTGCCCAGCTACCATCAGTGACTGCCCTGACAGGGAACACAACAGAGAGTCCCTGATGGAGCAGCAGAAAGATGGGGTGCAGAACTCAAATTCTAGTAAGAAGACAAGACCTAACGGTCTGACTGAGACTGAGGTACCCCGGAAAGCATGGCCCCTGGATTCTCTCTCAGCCCAGAACCAAAACAATTTCTGAGGCCAACTCTTCAGACAGGGATTGGACTGGACTGTGGCACATAAAGTGATACTCATGAGGAGTGTGCCTCTTAGCTCAAGTAGATACAAGAGACCAAAGGGGCAGCTTCTGTCCAGAGGTGAGATGGGAAGGCAGAGAGCGTTAGGAGCTGGTTGAATGGACATGGGGAATCAGGGGTGGAAAGAAGGAGTGTGCTGTTGCAGGATGGGGTGAGCAATTAGGGTCACATAACAATGTATGTATAAAATTTTGTATGGGTGACTGACTTGAAATGTAAACTTCATTTAAACTACAACAATAAAAAAAAGTAAAAAGATAAAATAAAAAAAAGTTTTGTTGTGGGCTACATGGACCAAATGAAGTAGAGAGATTGTTATTAGTTTTTTCAATAAGCTCTAAAGAGCCCACAAACATTGCAGGAACTTTGTAGGATATGAGAACAAAATGGAGACAACAGAATTCACCAACAGACCACAATGCAAAATTAGAAATCAATCGTAAAAAGCCAGTCAAAACTTCCAATAATTTATAGGTTGAAGAAGATATAGTAAAACTGACAAAAATATATTTGGACTGAAATTGTATAAATGTGCCCATCAAACCTTATGAAATGCAGCAGAAGTGCTCAGTTCAAAAAGTTAGGAGAATAAAGAGTAAACCCAAAGAAGTAAAAGAGAATAAATAATAAAAAGCCTGTGCAAAAATTGACATTGAAAATAATAAAAACAACAAGACAAAAAGATGAGTATTGGAAAATAGTCATTTCCAACCTCTGGCCAGATTAATCAAGGAGGGGGAGAAGCAAAACTAAGCTATATTAGGGTTAAAAAGGGATAAAACTACAGATAAAATAGATCTTTTTAGAGGAATAAAATGTATATACATCAAAGGAAAACTATAAAGAGTTAAAGAGGAAGAATTAGATACACATGTATCAACAGGTAAATCTTGAAAAATGCAAACTACAGAAGAATCCCTGCATAGAGTATGATATCTTTTGTGTAAATATTTAAAACATACAAAGCAATACTAATACTAAATCTTTTTGGAAATGTACAAATGTACTAGAAGTATAAAAACATGAGTGAGAAGGTCATTTTTCTGGGCAGGAGTGAAAATGGGATCAAAGAAAGTTACAATAAAGTTTACACAGTATCGTGTGTGTGTGCGTGTGTGTGTGCACATATACACATTGAATATGTTAATACCAGGTGATAGGCCCATTGGTGTGAGTCTCTGTACTTTTCTGTATGCTTGAAATATTTTATAATTTAGAGAAAGCAACACAAACTATATCGATTGCTGTGTGTACTCCCCACACCTCAGAGCATCAGCCTCACCCTTACCTGGAAACTTGTTAGAAATGCAAATTTTCAGGCTACACCCTTGACTTACTGGATCAGAAATTGGGGGTGGAGCCAGCACGCTGCGTTTTAACAGACCCTCCAGGTGATTCTCATCCATGCTAAAGTTTGAGAGGTACTGTCTTAGAATAATGTTTCTCGAACTATGGTCTGGGGACCCTCCAACATTGCCATCACCTGGGAGTGCTTGTCAAAATGGAAAAACTGGTTCCATAGGTGTGGAATAGGATCCAACAATCTGCGTTTGAGTATGTTTGAGTATGCTAAAAGTTAAAAGCACTGTTTTTGTTTATTTGTTTCAGAGTTAGTCTTCTCTGATACACTTTCTTTTTAGAATTTCATTAGCCATTCTTATTTCTTTTTCCATATGAATTTTTTTTATTGCGATTTAGGTGAAAATTTACAGAGCAAATTAGTTTCTCATTAAACAGTTAATACACAGATTGTTTTGTAACATTGATTGCCAATCCTGCAATGTGTCAACACTCTCCCCTTCTCCACCCTGGGTTCCCTGTTTCCATTCGTCCAGTTTTCCTGTCCTTTCCTGCCTTCTGTCTTGGCTTTTGGGCTGGTGTGCCCGTTAGTTTCGTATACATGGTGGAACTATGCTGGTAGGTACAGCTTTTGGTGGCTTCTCTATTAGAATCCACAATCTAGAAAATACTAAAATTCCACTTTCGCCTTTGTTCATTGTATTTCAGTCCCACTGTGAAGGATACTTTAATCTAGTTAATATGCCCAAAGAATTTAAGCATTTGACTGTTTCAGCAGGCTTCTTTTTATCATTAGAGGTACATTCTGTTCTAATAAGTAAGCAGAAAAAGCATCCTTATAAACTTTTGCGGCTTTGTAAAATGGTTAAAAACATTTCTTTTCACTAATGAAATAGACAAAAGTTTAAAGTGTAGTCACAATTTTATCCCATTCTTTATTAAGTATATTCATGTGTTTACATACAGGTACATATATAAAATTGTAGTGGATACAGTTTCTTGAATGATGGACAAAACGTTTTAACGGTATTATTATGGAGATATAATTCTTGCAAGGGGAGGCTGGGAACACTTTTTAATCTTATATCCTTGAACTGTTAGAATTTTTTGACACGTGTATTTATTACTTTTACATTATATACCATACTCATTGGTTCTAAGATGCGTTTCTTCATATTTAAATGATCCTGAAATTGAGACATTCTTACAATCAATGGTATGTTGCAGTTTAATTGACAGCATTTTTTATAGCTTGTGGTACATATATTAAAATGATAAATCTTAAAATCAACAGTGTGTTAGGATTGACGAAAAATGGTATAAGTCAATAAACCAGAAAAAACAAAAACAGAAAAACCAAACCCGTTGCCATCAATTCCGGCTCATAGAGACCCTATAGAACAGAGTAGAACTGTCCTTAGGATTTCCAAGAAGCAGGTGGTGAATTCGAACCGCTTACCTTTTGGTTAGCAGCCAAGCTCTTAACCACTGTGCCATATATAACTATGAATGATTCACATCTACTTTTGGGTATATTTTCCTAGGAGAATAATATTGGGAAAGATTTTAAATCGCATTATTTTATTGGGTAATTCAGTAGTTTGTTGAGTAACTCCTGTGTACAACAAGGTGCTGTGCTCTAACGATGGTGGGAGAATACAGGGAAGCACGAGATAGTCCCCACTTTTATTATCTCCGTTGATTTTAATGGGCAGGGCTTTCGTTTGGAAATGACACTCTTCAAGTGAACATCTCTTAAAAGAAAGCCTTAGAAACCTGACCAGTGACTCCCAACCGCATTTTATCAGTCACAGGGTGCACAACACGCCCGCACTTCAGTGCCCAGAACACTGAGAAGGGACTAAGGACGAGCTTTCCTAGAAACAGCCGGGTAGGGGACCGTTTCCTGTTATGATCTGAAAGAGGTGCTCAGCAGAAGCGCTCTCTAAGCAAAATAAGCTGCATGCTCCTTCAGCTTCAACTGAGACGTCCTCCGGCGGGGGCCTTTACTATCGGCTAAGGTGTCCCCCGCCTTGTGACTTGAATTTGGCAAACTCCATTAAACTAATGTAATATTGTTCAAGAAAGTGTGAAGGACTCCTTAAGAGTTATCGGGACACTTCGCCTTCTGGGCATCCCTTTCGCAGGAGGCGCTAGATTACTTCTCTTTGCACAGAGAATACCGGTGCCGGGTCCTCATCCCCAGGCAGCCATTCTCCTTTTCAAAGCTCTGCAGGTGATTCTAATGTGCAGCTCGGGCGGAGAGCTACTGTTGGGGCGAGTTGGAGGTTACAGTCGTGCTGGAGAGGGAGAAGCTACTGTTGGCTAAGTTCCACTCGCAGTTAGTGCATTGGTGAAATAAGCAAGTGACCGATGTTTGAAATGTACAACTTCGTGAAATAAGGAGAAGCGAATAAGAAATGCCAATACTCTGTCCACAGAGTAATCTCCTTCTCAACAGCAGCAGACCTTTCGCTACAGTTGTAATCCACTATCCCTCGTTTTAATCCAGTATTCCTAAATTACAAAAACTAAACTAACTTTCAAACTTTTAACTATATACCAAACTTCCAGAATGGGCCACAGCGCTCGCTCAGCTTGAAGTCCGGCTCTATGCACTGAGCACAGGGTGGGAGGGAGGGGGGTCTAGGCTGGGGGTGTCGGGCTGGCGCTCTTGGCCACATCCTCGATCAAATGTTCACTGTTAACGTCCTTGCTTCCCAGGAGAATCATAAAAAGCCACGGGAGCAGTCGACGAGCCCGCGCGGCCCAGTTCCAGGGACCCCCGCCAGGCTGAGTGACTCATGGGAACTTCGCTGGCCAAAGGCACCCAGGGGAAAAACTGTCTCGTCTGGATTCCCCCGCCGGGCAGTGACCGGCCACCGAGACTTCTGGGGCGGGTCCGGCGGGCCGGGCGCTGACCCTGCAGGAGCCTGGACTCGCAGAGCCGGGCTGCAGGGTGGACGGCGCACCGAGCGGAAGGGAGGCAGCTCGGGGTCGCGGAGCCTCTGGGGCCGCTGAGCGGAGGCGGAAGGACCCGCGGGGGAGAGGGTGGCAGGCGGGGAACGGTGACCGGGTCCAGGCGCACACTCCGCGCAGGGGGGCGCCCTTCCCGCTTGCGAAGCCCGCCGCCCGCGCGCCTGGTCCCGCCCCCGCGCCCGGCGGAGCCGCCGCCAAGACACAGGGTCTCGCGGAGGGACACCGAGCCTTTTCCTCTTGCCTACACACAGCGAGCGCTTTCTGTCCCCCGCACCGACTGGCTGCTGGCCCCAGAAGAAGGAAGACGGAGAGGGGCGAGCAGAGCCACCCGGAGACGGCCCCAGCCTCCAGGAGCAGCGGCGCGGGGAGCCGCTTTGACCGCGCTGAATCTCCGGACAATGGGGGCGCGGCGGCTGCTGCTCGTCGCGGTGGGACTCAGTCTGTGCGGGCCCCTGCTGTCTGTCCGTACTCGGGCTCGCCGGCCAGGTGAGAGCTACCCGGGTTTTCCCTTCCTGCCACCTCCAGCCCCACAGCCGGGGTCCTCCGTGGGAATGAGTCCGGCGGGAGGAGGTGGGAGGCTGAAGGAGGACATCATGGGCTTGACTGCCTATGATCGGAACTAAATGGGTACACATTGCGTTTTCACCCAGAGAGGGGTGCCCCTGACTGCACCCCCTACTTCAGTTTCCCCCGGAAGCCAAACAGACATTTGGGTTGAAATCCAGAGTCTCCCCTGGTCATATCTAGGTGAGGCGTGCCCATTCCCCTTCGCAGACTCAGCCTTTGCCCCTTTGGACCCGGTTTTGGAGGATGCAGCCGGCCTGCGACCAAGTGCTGGATATGGGCAGGTTTCTCCTGTGGGATTCTACGGTTTCCGGTTGCGTTTGTTCATTGTGTGGCCTATTTTTCCGATAGCTCAGGACAACCCCTCAAAGAAGGGGTCTCACAGCGCTCCACCAGTAAACGTTTCCGTCTTTTCAATATGAAGGGGAGAAACACACCCACTGAAGTTTTGTTTGGTTGGATTTTTTTTTTTTTTTAACCTTGTACATTTTACAGGTGAGAAAAGTGGTGTAGAGAAAAGCCCAGTCTTTCGAAACTTTTAGTAGAGAATTTAGTACCAGCGGTCCCTGGCACGGACCTCGTACACAGGAAGTGTTCGAAGCGCCAGTGATAGGGCCATAGTAGTATATAGCAGCTGGTAGTGGTTGTTGGGAGATTTTCTATGTTTGTTATCCAAACAACCCATTCCTTCCAAGTGAGTTGAGGAAAGGTTTCCTCTCCCAAGAGCCAGGCTCCTTCAGACACTATTGGATCCCACTCTTTCTTAACAGTCTCTGATCTGCTGCAAGTTGCTTCATTTGTTTATCTCATAGAATATATTTCCCACTAACAGTGTATTTTTAAGTATCTGGCTACTTGACCAAATAAGTAAATGCATTTTCCTCTACCTCCACCCCCAGCAGAGCAGAGGTGATGTTTTCAGCCTACAAAGTCACCTTAGAAAGTGAGGGAAAAAAACTACTAAGAAAAACATTTCTTAATAGTCATAGTATTCTGTAAGCTTTTAACAATTTTTTTTAAATGCAGAAACAAATTCTAGCTGGTTTTCTTGTTATCCATGAAAAGGTGTGTGCTCAGTATCGACCTTCACACACACATACACACACATGCAGTGTAGATGCATCAGGATTAAGAGATGACAATGACGTAGCATTTTCTCTGTTCTACATCTTTGCTCAGGGTGAATCTGGAGGAGGTGCTTTTGGGAAAACAAAGAGCCCCAGAGAAGGGCCCAAAGCTTAGAGGCAACTTGTCTGTGGATAATACGAGCATTACCTCTGAGGGTGCTGGGAGAATGTGGGAACTCCTGAAAACTTGTGTATGGTGATATATGATTTCAGATGTCACTTTGTAACTTGCTCAGTTTTATTTTGGGACAGGCTCCTGAGAATACCAACTTTTGCTTGAGCTTTGCAGTGTGGGATGGAGAACAGGTTTATGCAAATGCTGCATCCACTGTAGCCGCCTTTCCTTATGTTTCTGGCCTTGGTTAGGGAAGGAGTTACAGCTTCCTGCCACACGTCTTACTTCCTTATGTAAGGGGTGGTGCATGCTAAGATGGCCAACACTGGTGTAGACAGACTCAGGAAGGACAGACAGACAACTGAGCAAACATTGGCTAATTTCTCTATGCTGGATTCTGGAGCCACTTTGGGTGAGAAAGATGAGAGAAGAAAAGGAGTGTGTGTTAAGCACCATATTCGTGTCAGACGCTCGTCCAGGAGACATTTTCACTTAGATTGTCTTGTTTTGCCCCGTCAAAAACCTTGTTAAGGTGGGTGTTTATCTCCTTTTTCTAATTCTAAAACTAAAGCTCAAGACAGTGTCTTACCAAATTGGGGGAGGGAACAGTGGGCCAGTCCTTGTGCCCCACCCTCCAACCTGCAGGCAATAAATGTTGCACTGTCTTTAGAGAGTTGTAAATCACTAATAAAATCAACTGCACTGGCAATTCTAAACAAAGTATGTGATAAAAATTCTCCAGGGGGCCACTCCTACTACCCAACAACCACCACCCTCAACTTGATATGCCACTGCTCAAAAAGAATGACATTGATTCTTACCTAGGATCACCAGGCATGACAAGCTGGGCTGTGAGAACCCAGACTATAGCTGTAAAAAGGGCCCTCCAGGGCTGGCCCTACCAACCTGCTTGAACCGTCCCACAGCACTCTCAGACCTTTTGTTCCGACTCATTCTGGCACTTCCTGCACTGTCACTAAAAATGGCGGGATGGCAGCGTCTGACCTCCTGTTGCTTCACAAGGGGGAACGAGAATCAAGATCAACAGCCCAAAGCTGATTGCTATGAGCCAAAGGTCAACAATACCTCCTCTCACCAGCCCTTTTTATCAGTTCCAACACCAACCATCACTCCCACAGCACTCTCTGCTTCTCTGCTGGGTTCGATAATTTGTTGCAATGGTAACACAGAATTCACAGACCATACTCACCATTATGGGGTTTATTACGGAAGTAACAGTTACAATTCAGGATCAGGAATTTTCAGGATACATTTTTTGATCAGGACAGCCTCTTCTCAGTCACACCATGGGCAGGCCTCCCTCTGGCCCTCGGCCCCCGGAGGGGCCTCTTTGGCCGGCCTGGCCTCTGCCCTGCTCGGGCAAGTGTTACAAAGCTCTTTTAGCTCTGCCGGTAAGTGCCCAGAGGCACCCCACTCTACCAGTAAGCCTAGGCCTGAAGGTGTTCAGCTTTCTTGCTCCTGAGTTGGCATCCCCACTGTAACCACCTTGCTTCATGGGCCAGGAAGCCCACTCTGCCATCTCTTGCCAGTCTCCTGGTTCAGCTGCCTCTGCTGCTGCTGTTTCTCTGCCACTCTTTCTCACTGTTTCTCGCCATCTCTGGTGTTACAGTTCTCTGTCTGTGTCTCCTGGGTCTAGGAGGTTCTCAGCACAGGGATTCCAGATCCAATGGACATGCTGCACTCCTAGCTCTTCTTTCTTGGTGGTAGTACCTCCCCCTATGTGCTAGGATTGGCTGTTCTTTTAAGCCTAGTAGGATGGCAAAACTGACCAATCCCCTCATTAAGGTTCCATACACCTTATGTCTTAGTTATCTAGTGCTGCTATAACAGAAATATCACAAGTGGATGGTTTTAACAAAGAGAAGTTTATTTCCTTACAGCAAAGTAGGCTAAAAGTCCAAATTCAGGGTGTCAACTCCAGGGGAAGGCTTTCTCTCGGCCTTCTCATCAGTGTTCCCCCAGGCTAGGAGCTTCTCAGTGAAGGGAACCCGGTCCAAGGACGCGCTCTGCTCCCAGCACTGCTTTCTTGATGGTATGAGGTCCCCAACTCTCTGCTTGCTTCCCTTTCCTTTTATCTCTTGAGAGATAAAAGGTGATGCAGGACACACCCCAGGGAAACTCCCTTTACATTGGATCAGGGATGTGACCTGGGTAAAGGTGGTGTTACAATCCCATCCTAATCCTCTTTAACATAAAATTACAATCACAAAATGGAGACCAACCATACAATTCTGGGAGTTATGGCCCAGCCAAATTGATACACACATTTTTGGGGGGACATAATTCGAACCATGTTACCTTATTTGCATGGTCCTACCCCAACAAGGGTGCCATGCACCTTAGTTACATTATTAGCAAGCTGTCCCGTTCCCTTGGTGGGCCATAAGCACCTCACCCAATCATTTTGTGGGAGTTACAAAGACTACGGCTAGAAGGGCCATATTAAGAAATACACTGCACGACAGTCGCTTTATGGGTATCTCATCTCCCCAGCTAAGATTATAAACCTTTGTTTATCCCCGTGGAGTCTAGAACAAATGTTTACTCCCCAGATATTTATTGAGAAATTCATATATTCATCAATCAGTTTACATTCCTTTGTAATTCCTTGGCTAATTTGAGATGACTTGCCTTCATCAAAGAAGGCCAGCATTCAAGAGTAAAGGGTGATGTTTGTAAGTTTTATAAGGATCTGGTGTCCAGTCCCTCATCCCAGACAGGGGGCCCTGAGGACTGGCCTCTGGGCCCCCCTGAGAACTTGGCCCAGCCCAGGGGCAGGTGCACAGTTCCGCGGGCTGCAGCACACGCATCAGAGGGCATGGTACTCTGAAAAGCAGTGTTGGGGGAGAAACCAGAGGACCAGTGTAAACAGAGCTTTGAGAGGATCAAGGAAGGCCCCCTGCTTGGCAAAAAAAAGTCCCTGTGAAGATAGGAGGGTAGCAAGTGGTAATAGAAGCTATGTAGCAAAGACTCCCAGGGTGGCACAAATGGTTAAGTGCATAACTACTGACAAAAAGGTTGGCAGTTTGAACCCACTCAGAGGTGCCTCAGAAAAAGGCCTGTTGATCTGCTTCCTAAACGTCACAGCCTTGAAAACGCTGTGGAGCAGTTCTGTTCTGCACACACGGGGTCGCCATGAGTCAGAATCAACTCAGTGGCAATTGGTTGGCTGGTTTTTGGGGTTTTTTGTTTGTTTGTTTGTTTGTTTTTTTAAGCGAGGGGCGATGTGACCAATTACCCCTCACAAGCAACTCAGATTTCCCATGATTGGGTGTCACAGCTGGTAGAGACAAGCTGACCTCCACCCACTAGAATGAAAGCTCCATGAGAACAGGGATTTTTGCTTACTTCTGTTCACTGTTGTATTCACACCCCCTAGAACAGTGCCTGGCATGTAGTAGACACTTAACAAATGTTGATTGGTTGATGATCACTATCTGGTAAGAAGTGATCAGAGCCACTAAAAATAAATCCAGGACCGCAGGCCCAGGTGCATTATATCCTGGGGTACCAAATTTTCAGATGTGAACGTGAAAGGGTTATCTGTGAGAAATCTGGGAGAATGGCAGTGTTCCAGAACACTAAGGATGAGCAACTGTCTTGATTTTCAAAGATGGGAAAGCAGTAAGTTCCGGAAAGTATAGCTGGAGGAATTTGCT